GGGGGGGAGTCTGACGCACCAGTGATTGGGCCCAGATGTGGTAGTGGGATGGGGGTGAAAGGTTGGAAGGAGAGAAGGGATTTGAGAGATATTTCAAGGTAGAAATACCTTTTTAACTCAAAGGACGTTCTATGCCTTGATCTGAGTGGTGTAACATCAAATCGATGTTTCTCCACTTACATCTAAGATGTGTGTTCTTTCTTGTAGGTAAGTCATATTTCATTTAAAAAAGGCACAAAATCCAATGGCTGCCAAATTTTACTCTATCAACAACATTTGTATAGTCCTCCTTTGTTTCCTGCTCTCTTCCTCCTCTCTACCACCTAAAACTGGGAAATATCTTAGATGAGGAGCCAAAGATATGAGAGCGATGGTGGAACCCATGTGGACTTTACGCTGTACACGCAGGTGAGTGGCATCCTCAAAGCGAACTCCCTGGTGAAAAGGGGGGGGGGGAAAGCAGTATTAATTTAAAAAAATGGAAGTACTAGTAAAATAAAGTCTCTTTTGGAATAAATTCTTCTAACAGACATTTCCTAACTGGCTGTCCTGAACCAGGCACCTGGCTGGGGCTTGGTGGGGGCTGCTCAGCTGAATTGGAAGACAGATCCTGACCCAAGAAGCTTACAACTGGACTGGAACAAAGTCCTGAATGAAATTATAAACACTGACCGAGGACATGGCGTATTACATGGTATTTGACAGAGAGGAGTCAGTGTAAGAGACACTAAACGGGGAGCAATAATACAAGCAAAGAAAGGAGGCAGAGAACCCGTCTAGGGGGCTGCAGGGAGGCATACCTAGCTGGAGAAGGATGTGTGTCTCGGTGGGAAAGCTGGGTGTGTTGAGGTTTCTCCCGAGGCAGGCTGTAACGGGATCAGGGCGAGTGTTGAGCGACATGTGGAAGAATAACTGTCGTTTGCTGTTTGCTACTTTGTGCACCTTAGAAATACCATTGTTCTCAAAACAACCTAACAAAGTAGGTGTTGGTCACCCCGTTCTTGTAACCGAGGGTGAAGGAGTTTGGGTGATTTGCCTCAGGGCACAGAGGTGAGACTTTAAACCCATTGCTGGTCTGACTCCATTGCCAATAGCTTTTTGCTCCAACCACAGAGCTAAGGAGCTTGGCTTGCATTCTGAAGGTAATGGGGCCGTTGGAGATTTTCAAGCAGTTACGTGATATCAACTCTGTTTTGAGCAAGGAACTCTGTCAGTGACACGAAAGATGGACTAAAGAGGGGGAATAAGAATTTAGGGTCAATGTATGATCCACAGAAGGCAATTGGGGTTTTGTGTGTGTGTGTTTTGTTTGTTTATTTGTTTGTTTTTATCCGATTTGAGAGAGAGAGAAACATCGATTTGTTGTTGCACTTACTTATGCATTCATTGGTTGATTCGATTCCTGGCCTGGGGTTGAACCTGCAGCCTTGATATATCAGGATGACACTTTAACCAACCGAGCTGCCCAGCCAGGGCCCAGACGGCAATTGTTTTCATTACAGTCACTACTCATTCTTTATATAAAACAGTGCCCTGCAGCTTGATTGTTGATTGTGTCGCCAAACCACTTGCAAAAATCAAGTCCCTCCAGAGTTTGAATTAATTTAGATAATTGTGAGCAATAACTCCCAAAGGGGGTGCCAAAGGAACCACTT